AATAAATAAATAAATAAATAAATGAAAGTCTGGGAGCCAATTCATTGCAGTGTTGTTTGTCTGCAGCCTATTTTTTTTTCTATTGCTTTATATGTGCAAAATGGAGGATAGACTTTTGCACATGGTGAAGTGAGGTTTTTAATACTTAGGTCTTTGACTTACCAGCACTCTGGTTAGAAACTTCAGAGAAAAGCCTTCCACTTTCCCTTTCAGTCAGTGTTTGGGAGACTGCACCCAGCACTTTAGTCAGAGGGGAAAGAGTGACTATTTGCATAATTTCTAAGGACTAGGGTTTCTTTTTCTTTTCTTTTACAAGAAATGGTTCTGAGCCACAGACCACACTTTGGGAAACATTGATCTAGGCCCTGCTAAGGAAAAAGTAGACATAGCTATTGATGACAGAAATAAACATGGAGGACTTGTAAAACATATCTCACCATAGATATGAGTAAAACAGACTATACAGGCAGTCTTGCAAATACCAAGAGAATTATAATAAATATTTTTTAAAGGAATGGTGGTGGAAATAGTTTATATTTGCTATCATGACTTTCTTTGAGAATGACTATAATAAATCAATATGGTCTCCATCCCAAGACACTCATTATCCCTTCCTGCCAATGATGCCCACAGTCCTTCCAAGATATTGCATGTGATTTAATAAGACTTCAGCTCTTTACTAGGGTCTTCCAGTAGGAATCTCATGAAATATTGCCATATTTCCAAATTTAGGGAGATTTAGAAGGATGTGTATACCAAGGCCTGGAAAGGTTGCTGACAATTATAGCAAATTAAGAAATCACAGAAAACTAACTTTAAAAGACTTTGAAATCAGGTGTCACATAGAATCTTGCCTGGATTCAGTAGGAAGAAAAATTCCAGAAAGGGAAAGACAAACATTACACAAATTGAATCCTAGGATTCATTACCAAATAGTGGTATTCTGAAACCATCTAAAAGCAACATTGGTGAGCAAAATATCTGAATTCATATTACTCACTGCATCATGAAATGTGATGAGTGTTTTGTTTTTGCTTTGATCATTGATGTAGTTTTCATAAGCTTCCTCATAGATAGCTTGGACTTCACTGACTGCCTGCAGAAATAACAACCACAACAACAGACATCCTAATTAGATATGAAGGGTAGTGGGGAAACCAGCAGAGGTTCAGTTACAGGAAACCAGCAGAGGTTCAGTTACAGGAAATTCAGGGCTTCTCTCCAGTCCTCTGGTTGTTCTACCACTTGAGAATATACAGAAGATGGATGGAGGTAAGAATGAAGCAACAAAGAGGGCTACAGTCAAACTTAGGGTAGAAAGCTTTAGCTATTTACAGACAGACATGTCAAAGATCGAACCCACAGCACTTTGGGGGCACAAGAAAGCAAGCTCTAGGCTTTGGCTGTGGTGCAGCATGACTGGTGAATGGGGCATGGCTGATAGGATGCAAAAGGAAATTGCCTGGGCAGGTTGGGCCATTTCATACAAAACATTGCTACACAAATGACAGAGTATGCTGTTGGGAAATATCAGATCTTAGCCTAGGAAGCAAAAAAAAGTTCTCCAAAAAAGGCAACAGAAAACCTTTTCTATATATTTGCCAAGACACATCCATGAAGTCACCAGGACTTAACTCTAAGGAGATTTTACCCTTTTAAACTATCTTTCAGTTAAAGATATTTAGGACAGCACACAACAAGCATTTCACTTACCGTCTTCTTGCCCAGAAAAGCAAAAACCCCTGCAGTGATTTCAGCGGCAAAAATCACCAACAAGCAAGTAAAAAACTACAACAGAATGGAGATAAGATTAGAGGTTAAACTTTTATGGAATCTTGAAAGCAACATGTAAATCCTTTCTCTGAGGTTGAGAAATAGTGGTTTTAATAACAGAAATACCTTATATAGGCCAAGGATAAAGGGGCAAAGGGGAGGTTCTAGTTCAACTCCTTAAATCAGGATAATTTCACACTTCAAGGAAAGGGTGGAACAAAGAAATTATCAAAGAGGTGCTTCTAACACTGCAATATATCCAGAGCCTTTGCGACAGAATTCTCTGTATACTTTGCTCAAGCAGTAAGTCCCACAACATTCAAAGAGGATGCATTCTGGTAAGTGAATATAGAATTGCAAATTAATGCTTCATGAAATCCTATACCCACTTAAATAGAAGTAGGCCCTGTCAAACTGAATGTCAGTTACTTCTGACTATGACTTCTGGGGCATTACGGGAAGATAATAAAGGGACTTCTAAGTTATTGCATTTATATGAAAGCTTTACATGCTCCACCTTCCTCTTTTCTCCAATGTACAGCAAATTGGTTTCAATATAGGTGTCCTGGCTTAATAAACTATAATTTATTCAGCTGGGGATGATGTCAGATCCACCCACTCTTTTTAAAAAATCTCTCTTCCTTTTATGCCAACTTTGATCTGCTTTCTGTTATGTCAAAAATAGTTTTGTTTTAATGCCAGTTGGCTAACCATGATCTTAAATTACAGTTTGATATTTGTATTTAAAAACAGATTTCCCTGTTTTGGACTTGGAATGAAACAAAATACAAATACTTTAGCAAAGGGAGAACCTGGGACCTTATACTAATGTTTGGCTTAATGAACAATGATTGACTAAATTTTGCATTTGAGAGGGGCCTGACGTCACCTTGTTGTACATGTCCATTACTTACTGCTCCAAGCAGGCACTGAGACTCCCGTGCTGCTCCGCAGCACCCAAAAAATCCTACTATCATCATCAGCACTCCTGCACCCACCAGCACATACAGTCCTGTAAGGAAAGACAGAATTACCACGTTATTTCCAAACTCCTATCTGTTATTTTTGTCACCAGGGAGACCCACAAGTCAGTTAATTACTAGAGTCCTGGTTTCTTGTAAAGGAATCATTCTAAGCTATCCAGTTACACTGACTACCAGGAAGCACCATGGGACTGGTTTCATCCTCACTGGGACTCTTCAGATGCAGGTTATTGTATGTGGTTCATATCCTCTATTGGGAACTGAACGCATGAACCTTTGCACTTTAGATGACTATATGCAGTGCACTGACTATATGCAGTCCTGGTGCTCAGTGGTAGCAAGAGGGGATATCTAGAAGCTCTCAGAAAGTATATACAATCTACCTACCTAGAGCAGAGAGGTACGTGGGGGCATTTTATAATGTAACATTTGTATCTAAAACTGTTATCATCTTCAGCCAACAGAGCTGGGAAAGGCTATTACAGGTAGCCTTCCTTTAGTGAGTGCCTCATTTAGCTACCATTCGCAGTTACAACGGTGATGAAAAAGTAACTTTATAACCAATTTATGATCTTCACAGGTCTGTAAAGCAAAGGAAAGCTGAAGTAAAATCATAAGCACAGTAGTGGTTTCACTTAGTGACTGCTTCATGTAACAACCAAGTTGCTGACTCCAACTGTAATCAAAATAAATAAGACTGCACTGTGAAAAAGTTCACAAAACTTTCTCTGCCCAATGCTAGCCTGAGCTGAATGTGGAGGTCTCTGAATGTAGGCTGGGACTACATGTGCTGTAGGGGTGCAAGCTTCCCAACACAACCTCCCAGGACACAGCTGAATTCTTGATGCCTGGTTGTAGGCCAATTTCCTTGCAATTCAATGAAGATTTGAAATATAGCTCTGTTCTGATTGGGTAGCAGGGCCTCTGTAACTTTACACTGACCCAAAGGCTTGAGAGAGAAAAGGTTGGAAAATGATTGTGTGGTGTGTCACATACTACCATGTGGCGAAAATAAACTGGGGAACTAAGTATTGCATTGGCAGCCAGCTCTGTATTGCTCCTTCCTGCACCTCAAAAAAATATGGCTGTGAACAAAGCCAAGGGATATTTTTCATGTTCCTGCTCTGCACATATAAAATACAGCTAAGAACAACCCACTTTGTAGTTTTTCTTTGTAGTTCTGCTGGCTTCCATCTTTACACATTTTCTTAATGCTCTCACTGAATGGAACGGCGCATCTCAAACATTTCTCCAGCATCTTTTACCAAAGACTGTGTTACCCAGATTATTTAGGTGTGTCTCTTCAAAAACAAAATAAAACAAAAATAAAATGCCAAACCACTCTTCAGAGACAGAAAAGATGACAAGTTGGAAAGAAAAAGATAAAAAGTGAAATATTCAGGATAACTCAGAAATTATATAAACTAAATAAAGGCGCAAAATCTGTCTTGCAATAAAAAGTCAGCAAGATTCTTCTGAATAGAGCATGTGATTCCCTTTAAATTGGTTCTGAATATTCAAAGTGAGTTAATGGGTGGCCCAAACACTTCTTCCTAATAAGCAACAGCTCTAGTACTAAATGTTTCCGAAGCATAAAAGCATCAGGGGCTCACCAGAATACAATTTATGGACTTGGAAATGCATGATTATTAATAATTAACTGGTTTGAAATGAACAACTTCATGCACAATTTTAGGAATCGAATGGTTCAGCAACCCGCTTTAGGAAATACAGTAACCATCTTCCAAAATTATACAACTTGGTCAAGAAACAGCTGCTGTCAAGCTAATGGCAAATCTTGTTTGCACTCATCAAACTTCTGAGAGCCCATTTCAACTTTCAATTTGCAATTATTCTGAATGTCACCGCACAAAGGTTCATATTTTCCTGCTGTTAATCACACTGAATGGAAATATGAAGACAGTTGACTTGAGAGTCCACAAGGTAGAAATGTGGGTGATTATCCAAAAAGACCTTTTGAGGCTGGGGGTAAAAGAGATACAAGGCTCAACTGCTCCACAAGAGGGCACAATATGTCCACTCTTTAAGAGGTTGTTTTCAAGCTTTTTATTTTGTAAAGGAGTTTGTTAAAAATATGTCATTCTTTCAAGGACTAAAGCTGCTGCCATAATACAGAGAATTTATTTTGATCCTTCAAAATAATTTTTTGTTCTATCCACATTATGCATAAGAATTATGCATGTTATTCACATTATGAATAAGAATTACTTTGAAAATGTCATGTAGAGACCTTTCTTAGCTAAATGCTTGCAACCTGAGTTTTGAAGCCAGTTCTAAAGCATGTGCTTGCTCTACTAGATATCTTTGGGTCTATGTACACCTTGCTATTTTCCAGAAAGTTCTGATCTTTGCAGGATAGACCACTTTTCTTTATATGGTTTTACCTCTTATCCTCTCTTTTCCTCCCAATTCCTCTGTGGAGTCAATGGCACAAGCTTCTTAATCACATATTCTCTCCCCCAGCTCCCCTTCTTTTTGTGTGCAATTGAAGACTATCAGGGACAAAACCCTGAGATGTGATAATTTGGCCAGATTTTTAAAAATATAACTTAGATATTATTTAAAATGTGATGAATCTTGGATAGCAGTTGTGGGTGCCATTTTTGAAGGTAACAGACATTTTCATGCAGGCATTGTACTGCCCTGGACCCTCGCTCTGATAAAGAATGCATTTTAAGTATTCTAAAATATACTCTGCCTTTTGCATGCTATAAACCAGGGAACCCAAACTATCAGCAATTTTATTTAACTCCAAGTACCTCTTTAAAGACAACTATGTAGCATGGCACTCCTTATATGGGAAGATTGGGTCAGTTTGAAAAATCTTGCTCCTCAGCCCTTCATTGTGGCCTCTGAGAATACATAAGTTCACCATCTGTGGTTTGAACACACTGTGAATGATGAAAACAAAATGTAGGGGTCCAAAAAGACTTTATCTTGTTTGAGTAATTTCTCTCATTCATATTTTCCAGATGATGTCACCATGGATGGAGGGAGGGATGCAATTCAGTACCAGGCTCTATTAGAACTTTGCAAGGCAGGGTCAAACCTCTTCAAGAGGGCTAATTTCTCCACTCTTTTTATTCTCTGGAGGCAGCCCTCCACACAGCATCAGACCCCTGGTCTTCCAGGAGAGAATGTGTTCAGCAAGGTCAGTGGGATTCCTGTTGCTTCCTGTTAGCAAGCCTTAACAGGAAGCTTTGCCTAAAGAGGACAGTTTGGCTCAGTGACTCACACAAGTGAAATGCTAACAGCTCTACCAGCGAAGGACAGCCTGGTAACTCTTTTGAGTGGACAGAGCAGGGAATCCTGCATTAAAACATCATCCAAGGGAAGAAAACAACCCCCAGTGTAGGGAAACTAAGGCAAGGCCAAGAGGTTTGCAGGGGCTGCCTTAAACAAGGAGAAAGACACAGGCCATTGAGCTATCAGGGGCTACAACTTCTGTTCACTGTTTCATAGGTTCAACAGGCCAGCAACAATTTTCTTAGCTACCTCTGTTCTGTGGCCATTGTTATTAAGGCAAAAATACACAATCTGGGCCAAGACATTGCAGCCTAACTATAATTTTTAATGAGACTGAAGTAAAAAATTATCTGACACATAAGAATCACATTATCTGTATTTAATAAGTTTAATTTTATTTAGATTTTTATTTTATCTAAATAGAATCAAATTTAATTTTTTTTTGTTTGCCCACCTCCCCATTTTTTTGCCCTGGTCCCACTTTGCTTGAATGTGGCTCCTCTCATGCTACTCAAGAGCTGAGAGTCCTTAAGTAGGTAGCTATGGTGAAGATGCACACCACCTGTGTGACAGACAAACATCCTTGGAAGAGCCTCTAGGGGCATATAAAACTGCTTTATGATCATCTCAGCTCTATCTCTTGTTCAGTCCTTGCAAAAAAAAAAAAGCGTCTTTCTTCTTACATGAGGTCAAAGCTTTTTCCCCTCTGATTTGCTCTTAGCAATAAGAGAGTTCCATCTGAGTATGGCAGGGACATCAGTTGCCTTGCAACAAGGCTAAACATCTAGCAAGAAAGAAAAAGAGTACTTTGTGTGATAATCAAGGATGAAGACAGTCTTTGTCTTAAGTGGTGAATGCAGAATTCCATCTCACTGCACTGCTTATGGGGTGGTTGGAGAGGACTCTGCAGCTGCGCAGAGAGTGGAGTAATGGCATTGTTAGAGATATGGACTACTATATTCCAGACAGGCAAGCTGTGCATTCTTTGTTTCTTCTCTGCTTCAGAGCCCTGTCTCTAAGGTGACATGCAAACTTTCAGCTAGTGTTTCCACACATAATTAACCTCAGAGGAAGTTTGCTTGTTTATGCAGCTGATATCTAATTTACTAGAAATCCCACAGCACCAATTATACCATGTCTAATGATGTAAGTCCTTCCTAGCAAAGCTAGTAACCACTACCATTATTAAGAGCCCAGACAACAGACAACTAGATAAGGAGCTCTGGTTAGTTTATATACAAGCTGATTTAAAGCAAAGCAAAAGAAAATATAAGATATACAATATCTATTGTAACATCTTTACGGATACTTGGAGAGAAACACCAAAATCAACACTTGTAGTGTTTATGTTCCATCAATAGGACATAAATTGGGATATGAAAGGAACCATTTGTCTCTGTAATTTGGAGACATTGGAGACACATTACTCAGAGGTGGGCATTATGAGTCATTGGCTTCCTGTGGCCCCCAACCCATCATCATCATCATCAATTACTATTATTAGTGTTTCAGTACCTGAAGTCTCCAGAGTTTTCAGCAGCATAAACCACTAAATAAAAGAGGTACATTTTCCGGCCAGTTTTTGACTTGAATGAAGAATGATGCTTTAAGCCTCAAAACTTCCCCTGAACCAACACACCAAAAGATCTCAAGTTCCACCTTAGTCTCTCTAATGACATCATTATGCCACTGTCCTTCTCACCATGGCCCTTGCTCTCAAAATGATGTATTAGACATATGGAAAAATCTTTCCAGATCTGAA